CCCTCGGTTAACAATGTATGTTCTTTTCCAAAAAATAATAAAAACAAGCTCAACATTTGAAGTATAAACACGTTATAAAATAAATTCCTGTGTAGCCAGTTTGTCCCGAGAGAAAGTTAAACTGTACCATCACGTACATAGGGGTCCTTCGAGCCGGATATAAACCAGCGACCTATTAATTTTCTACTTGACAAACTTTATTTTATACTTTGACCTATCTAATAAATCATTCTATCTAGTGGTGGAAATAGCATGAAAATATATTCAGTATTTATAAGCTGCGTCTACACTGGGCGCATGGGCTCGTGAGCGACGCTTGACATCCTGCTCACTTTGCTTTTGAGTGAGCAGGATGTCAAACGTGTAGACATAGTCTTCTCTCACCGCCTGTGTGGTCTAGTGGTAAGACCACGTGCTTCCCGGGTTCGATTCCCAGTGGGGGAAGATTTTTCTGTTCGGTTCGGTTGGTGGTAGGGCTTGTTCTAAGTCTGCCTGGCTAGCTACTAAGTCTGTCGCTATAACGCAGTTAGAGGTAAGATAGCCAGTTCCTCCGTGGTCGAGGATTCCGGGTGAAGCTCGCTTCCACCTTCGGCCTGATCGTCACTTACCATAAGTGGCCTAATTCACGTATTTTGACAGTCAAGATCTCGCTGACGTTCAGAAGTTGTTCCATTGAAAAACAGTTCTAAGTCCGTATTCACAAGGGTCATTTTGATAGAACGATTACTCGATAGGATCGCAACTCAGTGTGTTGTTGTCATTGAAATTTTGTTACGTGAATAAGGCTACTGGCTACTGCCTGTATACTCACCCGTGCGGCGTGGGCACGGCGGCGAGGCAGCACAGCTCGGTGGCTGCTCCCAGCTCCGTCAGCACGAAGCTGCCCTCGGCTTCTGGACGCGCCGCTGACACCACGAACAGCCTGCAACAAGCAAGAGAGTCACTAGGTAGAGTTACTAGAGGCAGGGAAAGCGCTGCTGACACCACGAACAGCCTGCAACAGGGGCGTCAGTAGGTGGAGCTAAAGGCAAGACAGCTCATTGCCGCTGCAGCAACAGTACAGCACATAAGTAGTTCAGAAACGCATGATAACCGCGAAGTTTTATTTTATTTATCATTATTAAAGAAACATACAGCCTTGTTTGACACATGCAGCTTAAAATTAAGTTGGTTACACATTGGCCTAAAGTTTCTAAGGCTAGGTTGTACAGTCACGGAATGAAAAGGTTCATCAGTTTTCAAATTGATTCCTTCAACGAATCGCGACCACATATTACCTTTTGAAACTATGTTACAGAATAATCTCGAGTTAGAGAAAATAATCTTTAATTGTTCGTCAGTAAAGTTCAAAATTATTCAGATCAAAGTTGTTTGACGATTTACCTTGTCAAGATTATTATGATTAATAAACTAAAACCTTCTTGTTGGTTCAACCTGCCATTATTATTTCTATTAAAAAGAAACTACATTTTGTAACATTGCATGGGATAGAAAACAAGCAAAACCTTATTCGTTAGCAAACGTCATATTTATTTAAATGTTAGCAGCACTGTTTCTTGCACTGTTATGTTGGCAGGTTTGACTCTTACAGTACCTAGTGCAAGCGAAAACCGACACTAAGGTGACGAACCTTTTCATTCCGCGACTGTACAACCTAGCCAAAGTTGAAAAGGAGACAGATGTGAAGCATAATTTTTGGACGGTTCTCATTGGCGAAGCACTGAGGCGGTGACCGTGCACTTATGATTTGATGCAAATATAGAGGATTATTGCTGTACTTGGACCAAGCTTTACAGTGGGGCACATTAGAGAACACCATTAGCGCAAAATAGAAGACACCATCCCGCTTCAAGTACCAGAGATCACGCAGAGTGCGAAACATGCGACTCAACTTACTCGCTGACGTCACCCCGCTCATAATGTTTTGCACCATGAAGCACCAACCAGGCATATACTACCTTTGCCATAACACAGCATATACTACCTTTGCCATAACACAACATACACTACCTTTGCTCTGTAGTGGCAGTAGGCGCAAGTCCACTAACCGCACTCAAATCTTAGCAGCATAACATATTCATTGCCACTGCAGCAGCAGTGACACATGTCTGGGAATATTGCCCCACCCACTGCACTAAGTACGCAGAACTGACGGCCGATGGGGCAGGAAGGTTCTGGAATGGAGGCCGCGTACCGGAAAACGCAGCGTGGGACGTCCACCCACAAGGTGGACCGACGACATCGTAAAGGTAGCAGGGAAGCGCTGGACGCAGGCCGCTACCAATCGATCAACGTGGAAAGCATTGGGGGAGGCCTATGTTCAGCAGTGGACGTCCTGTGGCTGAAATGATGATGATGATGACTGCACTAACTGGAGTGCGTCACACGCAGCTCAGCACACACTGCCGCTAGTGACAGTAATGTGTGACAGGTAATATCATCCTGCCTAGGTATAGGCGTTTGCATTTACATCTTCACACAACAGAGGTCACACTAGAGCAGCGGTTCCCGAAAGGTGGTCCGCGGAACCCTGTGGTTCCGTGGAAAGGCCGCAAGGGTTCCGTAAAAAATATTATCCCACGTTTCGTGACCGACGTTGTTCTCTCGCACCGACTTGTTTACGCACAAGGGAGGGGCAGGGCGTGCGGGCGGAGTAGTACGGGGGTTCCGCTAGGAAAAGTATAATAAATTAGGGTTCCTTGGCAAAAAAAATTGGGAAACCCTGCACCAGAGCACGTTATAAAAGTTTGCATTGGCACATGCCATATTGAAGTACGCAACACTCACCGACCGCAGGCCAGCGCTAACGCCACCCGCTGTAGCTTCAGCAGTGGTAGACGCATGGCTGATAACGTCACCCGTCCACCGCATCTTGCTTGCACCCTCACGCACCAAACAGATCACACTAGAGTGCGCCACTTGCGGTATAACACACTCTGACTACTGCTATAGTGCTATTGTGACAGCTTACAACAGGGGACGCCGCTTCACCACATAAGGGCACTAGAGTACCAATGCTACAGCGGCAGCATAGCGTGGTAGATGACGTCACCCCACCCACTTTAACTTGCTTGCATCCTCATGCGCTCATTGGGGGAGGCCTATGGCTGAAAATGATGATGATGATGATCCTCATGCACCACACAGGCCACACTAAAGTATGCTACACTCACCGTCCGCAGGCCAGCGCTAAGGCCACTCGCTGTAGCTTCAGCAGCGGCAATAACGCAGACACGGGAGACGCCGCCCCACCCACTGCATCTTGCACTCTTACGCTCCAAACTAGGGCACATGATGAAGCGCTAAAAAGATTTAAAAGATGTTTTTAGACAAGTTTTTTGCAAGACAGAAGAAGAATTTATTGATTCTGAATTCAGATAACGGTATTGTGCTGAATAAGACGAGAGAAAGTGAGAGAGAAAGTTTTCATGGCACAAAATTTGGTGAATCGACAGTTTGCCCCTTACTAATCAAAAAGTTACACACTCGTTGAACAGTAGTTTAAAGTGACATTTTCATACTAAATTTATGTTTCAAAATAGATCCAGATAAAAAATTNACACACTCTGACTACTGCTATAGTGCTATTGTGACAGCTTACAACAGGGGACGCCGCTTCACCACATAAGGGCACTAGAGTACCAATGCTACAGCGGCAGCATAGCGTGGTAGATGACGTCACCCCACCCACTTTAACTTGCTTGCATCCTCATGCGCTCATTGGGGGAGGCCTATGGCTGAAAATGATGATGATGATGATCCTCATGCACCACACAGGCCACACTAAAGTATGCTACACTCACCGTCCGCAGGCCAGCGCTAAGGCCACTCGCTGTAGCTTCAGCAACGGTAGTAATGCAGACACGGGAGACGCTGCCCCGCCCACTGCATCCTGCACTCTTACGCTCCAAACTAGGGCACATGATGAAGCGCTAAAAAGATAAAAAAAGATGTTTTAGACAAGTTTTAGTAAGAGTAGAAGGTAATTTATTGATTCTGAATTCAGATAACGGCATTGTGCTGAATGAGACAAGAGAAAGTGAGAGAGAAAGTTTTCATGGCACAAAATTTGGTGAATCGACAGTTTGCCCCTTACTAATCAAAAAGTTACACACTCGTTGAACAGTAGTTTAAAGTGACATTTTCATACTAAATTTATGTTTCAAAATAGATCCAGATAAAAAATTTAAAAATTATGTTTTAAATAAACATGTTATGAATGACAGTGAATATTGCTGTTTCTAATAATAGCAGCAGCTGGATGCGAAATGCTGAAAACAGGGTATAATGAAAATGAAAAACATTGATTGTTTTCAAAGATATGATTTTACAATGTGACTTTAAAATGGTGAATAATATAGGAGGGCTTATCTAGCAAGCAATGGAAGTAAAGAATTAGCAATCATAATCAATAAACACATAGAAATAACACACTTTACACCACACAAGACAAGAAAAGAAATAAATACACAAAAAAGACGGCACAATAGTATGTTGTTTCATAATAGAAATAGTCTCTAACACGAGCGACTCACTTGTAAACCGACACTCGTCCGGCGCTGTCTCCAAGCCACATCTTGGAGCCCACGCGGCAGACGGCTGTCACGTGCACCGGCTCGCCATTGTCTACAAGAAAATAAGTTGTTTTAGCAAATCCTTGTATAAACCTTTGAGAGGTTATTTGTGCAAGGAGAATGCCTGTGGTTCCGGCAGAAAGAACATAGGATAAATATGCGAACGTCAGAGTTCCCTCAACACGTCGGGTCAGCGTGACCCGTGAAGTATGTAGGCCAGATTCTCCGTTTACGTCAGTTAGTTACTTCGTTTCAGCCAAATGACGTCCACTGCTGGACAAAAGCCTCCCTCAAAGATTCGACACCTGGGGGTGTAGTGTGGCACCTGCAGCGACACCTGGGGGTGTAGTGTGGCACCTGCAGCGACACCTGGGGGTGTAGTGTCGCACCTGCAGCGACACCTGGGGGTGTAGTGTCGCCACCTGGCGGCAGGCGGCGCGTGTGGTGGTGCGTGTAGCGCGCGCGCGTGCAGTGACACCTGGGGGTATAGTGTCACCTGGCGGCAGGCGGCGCGTGTGGTGGTGCGTGTAGCGCGCGCGCGTGCAGTGACACCTGGGGGTATAGTGTCACCTGGCGGCAGGCGGCGCGTGTGGTGGTGCGTGTAGCGCGCGCGCGTGCAGTGACACCTGGGGGTATAGTGTCACCTGGCGGCAGGCGGCGCGTGTGGTGGTGCGTGTAGCGCGCGCGCGTGCAGTGACACCTGGGGGTATAGTGTCACCTGGCGGCAGGCGGCGCGTGTGGTGGTGCGTGTAGCGCGCGCGCGTGCAGTGACACCTGGGGGTATAGTGTCACCTGGCGGCAGGCGGCGCGTGTGGTGGTGCGTGTAGCGCGCGCGCGTGCAGTGACACCTGGGGGTATAGTGTCACCTGGCGGCAGGCGGCGCGTGTGGTGGTGCGTGTAGCGCGCGCGCGTGCAGTGACACCTGGGGGTATAGTGTCACCTGGCGGCAGGCGGCGCGTGTGGTGGTGCGTGTAGCGCGCGCGCGTGCAGTGACACCTGGGGGTATAGTGTCACCTGGCGGCAGGCGGCGCGTGTGGTGGTGCGTGTAGCGCGCGCGCGTGCAGTGACACCTGGGGGTATAGTGTCACCTGGCGGCAGGCGGCGCGTGTGGTGGTGCGTGTAGCGCGCGCGCGTGCAGTGACACCTGGGGGTATAGTGTCACCTGGCGGCAGGCGGCGCGTGTGGTGGTGCGTGTAGCGCGCGCGCGTGCAGTGACACCTGGGGGTATAGTGTCACCTGGCGGCAGGCGGCGCGTGTGGTGGTGCGTGTAGCGCGCGCGCGTGCAGAGCAGCGAATGCGCGCGCTCCGCCTCGCCGCCGTACCAGATCTCCCAGCCGCCCTCCTCCTCCGCTGGAAGAGAAAATGTCGTAAGAACAGATCTGATAGATTACAGGAAGAAAGTTTCATGGTGGTTTTAGTATGAAGAATATGACAAATAAAAGAACTAAGGTTCAACATTATTAGGTAGCCTATAACAGACGTTTCTTACTGTAGCCCTCAAGAGACTTGTATCTCGCTGTAGCCCTCAAAAGACTTCTCTCGCTGTAGCCCCCAAGAGACTTGTCTCTCACTGTAGGCTTCAAGTCTCACCCTAAAGAGTCTATCTCTCGCTGGAGCCCTAAAGAAACTTATCCCCTATTGTATCAATGGACATATTCTTACCATGTACCCTGTAGCCCTCAAGAGATCGTCTCTCGCTGTAGCCCTCAAGAAACTTATACTGAACCTTAGAAGTCATTCGCATTGTAGCCTTCAAGAGACGTAACTATAGTGGCGTACCGTGCGTGACGGCGAGCGCAGCAGCGGTGGCGTCAGCGAGCGCGGCGTCCTTTATTGAAGCCCTCAGACTCATCTCGCGCTATAGCCCTAAAGAGTCTATCTCACACTGTAGCCTTCATACACTCATCTAACCCTAAAGTCATGCGTCGTGTGTCTTACCATGAGTAATTGATAGCGCGGCGGCGACGTCGGTAGCGTAGACGGCCTTCATTGTAGCTCTAGCATAGCTCACCACGAGTGCTGAAGCCTTTAAGGGTCTTTATCTTTCGCTGTAGCCCTAAAGAAACTTATCCCCTATTGTATCAATGGACATATTCTTACCATGTGCCCTGTAGCCTTTAAAAGACTTTTGTCTCGCTGGAGCCCTAAAGAAACTTATCCCCTTCTCACCATGAGTGATTGCTAAGGCGGCGGCGGCGGCGGCGGCGGCGTCGGCGAGCGCGGCGTATTCCGGCGCGGCGAGCGCGATCATTATCTCGCGCTGTAGCTTATAAAAGACATCTCGTGCTGTAGCCCTCGTACCAGCTAGCTCTAGTACGAGTATAGCCCACCATGTGTAATTGCCAGCGCGGGCGCGCCGCTCCAGCAGCGACGCATCGCTTCCAGCATGTTGCACGGGTACTGTAGTACAAGTCGCTGAGTGCTGATGCCTTTGAGGGTGTGATCTCTCGCTGTAATCCTCTGGAAACTTATCCCATACTGAACCTTCTAAAAGGCACTCGCGCTGTAACCCTCAAGAGACTTCTCTCATTGTAGCCCTCAAGAAACTTATCCCACACTGGACTTCTAAGAAGGCACTAGCCCATAAGACTTGTTTCTCATTGTAGGCTTCAAGTCTCTCGCTGTAGCCTTCAAGAGACTTGTCTCTCGCTGTAGCCCTAAAGAAACTTATCCCACACTGAATCCTTGAAAAGGCACTAGACCATAAGAGACTTGTCTCTCGCTGTAGCCTTTTAGAAACTTGCCTCTTACTGTAGAACTCAAGAAACCGCCTCACGCTGTAGCCCTAAAGAAACTTGCCTCTTACTGTAGACCTCAAGAGACTTGTCTCTCTCTGTAGCCTTTAAGAGACATCTCGAGCTATAGCCCTCATGAGACTTGTCTCTCGCTGTAATCCTCTAGAAACTTGCCTCTTACTGCAGCCCTCAAGAGACTCATCTCTTACTGTAGCCCCCAAGAGACTTGTCTCTCACTGTAGGCTTCAAGTCACTCGCTTTAGCCCTTAAGAGACTTATCTCTCGCTGTAGCCCTCTAGAAACTTGCCTCTTGCTGTTGACCACAAGAAATCGCCTCACGCTGTAGCCTTCAAGAGACAAGCCTCACGCTGTACTCTCAAGACTCTTTTCTCTCGCTTTTTTCGAGTGCAGCGATGGCGACGAGTTTGGAGTACTGTGGTGACCGCGAACTCGAGTTCTGAAGCTCTCTAAGGTCTGATCTCCAAGAAACCTATCCAATACTGTGACCAGAGGTTCTAAGTCTCACCATGAGTAATAGCCAGCGCGGCGGCGGCGGCGGCGGGCGCGGCGGCGGCGGCGTCGGCGAGCGCGGCGTATTCCGGCGCGGCGAGCGCGGACACGAGCGCGGCGGCGGACGGGCGCAGCGCGGGCGCGCCGCTCCAGCAGCGACGCATCGCTCCCAGCATGTTGCAGGGTACTGTAGTACAAGTCGCTGAGTGCTGATGCCTTTGAGGGTGTGATCTCTCGCTGTAGCCTCCAAGAAACTCATCCCACACTGAACTCCTAAGACGGCACTAACCCTCAAGGGACCTGTCACTCGCTGTAGTCCTCAGGAGACTTGTCTCTCGTTGTAGCCCTCAATACTTCTCTCACTGTAGCCTTCAAGAAACTTGTCTCTCACTGTAGGCTTCAAGTCTCCCACTGTAGCCCTTAAGAGACTTGTCTCTCACTGTAGCCCTCATGAGACTTGTCTCACGCTGCAGCCTTTAAGAGAACTTATCTCACACTGAACCTTAGAAGGCACGAGCGCAGCGGCGGTGGCGTCTGCGAGCGCGGCGTCCTTTGTTGAAGCCCTCAGACTCATCTCGAGTTGCAGCCCTAAATAGTCTATCTCACGCTGTAGCCCTATTACACTCATCATACGCTGTGGCCTGTGGCTCTGGCTACACTCTCTGTATATCTCACCATGCGTGATGGCCAGCGTGGCGGCGGCGGCGGCGGGCGCGGCGGCGGCGGCGTCGGCGAGCGCGGCGTATTCCGGCGCGGCGAGCGCGGACACGAGCGCGGCGGCGGACGGGCGCAGCGCCGGCGCGCCGCTCCAGCAGCGACGCATCGCTTCCAGCATGTTGCACGGGTACTGTAGTACAGGTCACTGAGTGCTGAAGTCTTTGAGGGTGTTATCTCTCGCTGTAGTCCTTAAGAAACTTATCCCATACTGAACCTTCTAGAAAGCAGTCGTGCTGTAGTCCTCAAGAGACTTCTCTCGCTGTAGCTCTCAAGAGACTTGTTTCTCGTTGTAGCCCTCAAGAAACTTATCCCACACTGAACCCCTAAGAATGCACTAGCCTATAAGAGACTTGCCTCTCGCTGTAGCCTTCATGACACTCGTCTCTCCCTGTAGCCCTTAAGAGACTTGCCTCTTACTGTAGACCTCAAGAGACTCGTCTCTCGCTGTAGCCCTCAAGAGACTTGTCTCTCACTGTAGGCCTCAAGTCTCTCTCTAGGCTTCAAGTCTCTCTCTGTAGCCCTTAAGAGATTTGTCTCTCCCTGTTTCCCTTAAGAGACTAGTCTCTCCCTGTAGCCCTAAAGAAACTTATCCCCTATTGTATCACCGTGTGCCCTGTAGCCTTCAAGAGTCTATCTCACGCTGTAGCCCTGTCATATATCTCACCATGAGTGATGGCCAGCGCGGCGGCGGCGGCGGCGGGCGCGGCGTATTCCGCGCGGCGAGCGCGGATACGACCTCGATCTTTATCTCGCGCTGTAGTCCTAAAGAGACTTGTCTCTCGCTGTAGCCCTAAGAAACTTATCTCCTTCTCACCGTGTGTAATTGATAGCGCGGCGGCGGCGGCGGCGGGCGCGGCGGCGGCGGCGTCGGCGAGCGCGGCGTATTCCGGCGCGGCGAGCGCGGACACGAGCGCGGCGGCGGACGGGCGCAGCGCCGGCGCGCCGCTCCAGCAGCGACGCATCGCTTCCAGCATGTTGCACGGGTACTGTAGTACAAGTCGCTGAGTGCTGAAGCTCTTTAGGGTCTGAGCTCTCGCTGTAGTTAAGAAACTTATCCCACACTGAACCCCTAAGAAGGCACTAGCCCTCAAGAGACCTGTCACTCGCTGTAGTCCTCAAGAGACTTGTCACTCGCTGTAGTCCTCAGGAGACTTGTCACTCGCTGTAGTCCTCAGGAGACTTGTCACTCGCTGTAGCCTTCAAGAGACTTGCCTCACGCTGTAGCCTTCAAGAGACTTGCCTCACGCTGTAGCCTTCAAGAGACTTGCCTCACGCTGTAGCCTTTTAGAAACTTGCCTCTTACTGTAGAACTCAAGAAACCGCCTCACGCTGTAGCCCTAAAGAGACTTGCCTTTTACTGTATCCCTTAAGAGACTCATCTCTCGCTGTAGCCCTCTAGAAACTTGCCTCTTACTGTAGACCTCAAGAGACTTGTCTCTCACTGTAGGCTTCAAGTCTCTTCCTGTAGTCCTAAAGAGTCTATCTCTCGCTGGAGCCCTAAAGAAACTTATCTCCTATTGTATCAATGGACATATTCTTACCATGTGCCCTGTAGCCCTCAAGAGTATCTCACGCTATAGCTCTGTCATATAACTTACCATGTGTAATTGCCAGCGCGGCGGCGTCTTTTATTGAAGCCCTCAGACTCATCTCGCGCTGTAGCCCTAACCTAAAGAGTATCTCACGCTGTAGCCCTTATACACTTATTATCCCACGCTGTGGCTAATATATCTCACCATGTGTGATGGCCAGCGCGGCGGCGGCGGCGGCGGGCGCGGCGGCGGCGGCGTCGGCGAGCGCGGCGTATTCCGGCGCGGCGAGCGCGGACACGAGCGCGGCGGCGGACGGGCGCAGCGCGGGCGCGCCGCTCCAGCAGCGACGCATCGCTCCCAGCATGTTGCACGGGTACTGTAGTACAAGTCACTGAGTGCTGAAGCCTTTGAGGGTGTTAAGAAACTTATCCCATACTGAACCTTCTAGAGGGCACTCGCGCTGTAGCCTTCAAGAGACTTCTCTCGCTGTAGCCCTAAAGAAACTTATCCCACACTGAATCCTTGAGAAGGCACTAGACCATAAGAGACTCGTCTCTCGTTGTAGCCTTTTAGAAACTTGCCTCTTACTGTAGAACTCAAGAAACCGCCTCACGCTGTAGCCCTAAAGAGACTTGCCTTTTACTGTAATCCTTAAGAGACTTGTCTCTCGCTGTAGCCCTCTAGAAACTTGCCTCTTACTGTTGCCCTCAAGAGACTTCTCTCACTGTAACTCTCAAGAAACCTATCCCACACAAGACACTAGCCTATAAGATACTTCTCTTACTGTAGCCTTCTAGAAACTTGCCTCTTACCGTAGACCACAAGAGATCGCCTCACGCTGTAGCTGTGTCATATATCTCACCGTGAGTAATAGCTAGCGCGGCGGCGGTGGCGTCGGCGAGCGCGGATACGACCTCGATCTTTATCTCGCGCTATAGCCCTAAAGAGACTTGTCTCTCGCTGTAGCCCTAAGAAACTTATCCCCTTCTCACCGTGTGTAATTGATAGCGCGGCGGCGGCGGCGGCGGGCGCGGCGGCGGCGGCGTCGGCGAGCGCGGCGTATTCCGGCGCGGCGAGCGCGGACACGAGCGCGGCGGCGGACGGGCGCAGCGCGGGCGCGCCGCTCCAGCAGCGACGCATCGCTCCCAGCATGTTGCAGGGGTACTGTAGTACAAGTCACTAAGTGCTGAAGCCTTTGAGGGTGTGCTCTCTCGCTGTAGCCCTTAAGAAACTTATCCCACACTGAACTCCTAAGACGGCACTAGCCCTCAAAAGACCTGTCACTCGCTGTAGTCCTCAGGAGACTTATCTCTCGCTGTAGCTCTCAAGACTTCTCTCACTGTGGCCTTCAAGAGACTTTTCTCTCACTGTAGGCTTCAAGTCTCTCCCTGTACCTCTTAAGAGACTTGTCTCTTACTGTAGTCCTCAAAAGTATATCTCAAGCTGTAGCCCTAAAGAAACTTATCTCCTTCTCACCGTGTGTGATGGCCAGCGCTGCGGTGGCGGTAGCGGCGGCGTCGGCGAGCGTGGCGTCCTTTACTAAAGCTCTCAGACTCATCTCAAGTTGTAGCCCTAAATAGTCTATCTCACGCTGTAGCCCTGTCATATATCTCACCATGAGTGATGGCCNTTTAAAAGATGTTTTTAGACAAGTTTTTTGCAAGACAGAAGAAGAATTTATTGATTCTGAATTCAGATAACGGTATTGTGCTGAATAAGACGAGAGAAAGTGAGAGAGAAAGTTTTCATGGCACAAAATTTGGTGAATCGACAGTTTGCCCCTTACTAATCAAAAAGTTACACACTCGTTGAACAGTAGTTTAAAGTGACATTTTCATACTAAATTTATGTTTCAAAATAGATCCAGATAAAAAATTGAAAAATTTGTTTTAAATAAACATGTTATGAATGACAGTGAATATTGCTGTTTCTAATAATAGCAGCAGCTGGATGCGAAATGCTGAAAACAGGGTATAATGAAAATGAAAAACATTGATTGTTTTCAAAGATATGATTTACAATGTGACTTTAAAATGGTGAATAATATAGGAGGGCTTATCTAGTAAGCAATGGAAGTAAAGAATTAGCAATCATAATCAATAAACAGATAGAAATAACATACTTTACACCACACAAGACAAGAAAAGAAATAAATACACAAAAAGACGGCACAATAGTATGTTGTTTCATAATAGAAATAGTCTCTAACACGAGCGACTCACTTGTAAACCGACACTCGTCCAGCGCTGTCTCCAAGCCACATCTTGGAGCCCACGCGGCAGACGGCCGTCACGTGCACCGGCTCGCCATTGTCTACAAGGAAAACAGTTATTTTAGTAAATAAAATAGACCTGAGAACCTTTGGGGTTGGCGAGTACAGGTGTGTCACAGCGCCTCGTCGCCAAGGCCCGGTTTCCACCAGGCTTAAGGCTATAGTCCGGTCGCCGAGCACGTAGAATTTCGTCCAATGACCCCCCAAGCTACCCATCCAAATTGCTCGCGCTTAATTATATTGCTATTGCGACTGTGCGACGGGCGGCAGCAGTGAGTGTGCGAGTGCGACAGCAATATAATTTCGTGCTCGACGACCGGACTTTACAAAGCTTGAAGACCACGTTATTCGACCAGGGCAACTTATCTGTAATGAGAGTACGCTGGCCCAATGACTACACGTCACGTATTCATAATCTCGTCGCTTACTCATCGTCACATAAAATTTACAAAACCTTTTATTTTATCGTCGCACCTGCAGCGACACCTGGTGGTATAGTGTCGCACCTGCAGCGACACCTGGGGGTATAGTGTCGCACCTGCAGCGACACCTGGGGGTATAGTGTCGCACCTGCAGCGACACCTGGGGGTATAGTGTCGCACCTGCAGCGACACCTGGGGGTATAGTGTCGCACCTGCAGCGACACCTGATGGTATAGTGTCGCACCTGCAGCGACACCTGGGGGTATAGTGT